CTTTGTCTTTGTTTGTGGGGGTCTTGTAGGCGGCTGCCGCTTCCACTTGGCTTCGCGGCTTGATTAAATGTTGCCAACGACGACGACGACGACGACTTATACTATAGACGTCAAAAGATACATGAACTTGAGGCTCAATCAGTTTGAAGATGAAGAGTACGTTGCCGTCAGACTTTGCGCAAACTTTTGCTGTGTCTGTGGCAACCACAATTGCCCAGCCCTGCCCCTGCCCCTGACCCAGCATCTTCATCTTCATCAGCTTTTTCAGCTCCGTCGTCGTCAACGTCTCAAGAATTTTGAACACAAAACCAAGAAAACAAATAACAAAAAATTGCTTTGCTGCATGCAAAATGTTCTCGCTGCTGATGGAAACAAACGGAAGTGCTGCCTAAATTGAAGTTGCAGCTACTTGAAGGGCGGCTATATACCACAATTTAACAGATTTATCCTTAACCTCGTTGCCTTCGTGTGGCCCCTCAAATAATAGATGAACGCACATAGATATTGCTGCCAGACATATAGTGTAGTATAGTATAGTATAGTACAACAAAACAGTGCCGCCCATCCATATTGAAATGTTGGATGTGTGGCAGACGTTGCTCGCTTACATGTGACAGGCCAAGGCGCAAGCTGTTTACTGTTCAATTTCTGTTTTATTTGCATAACATTTAATTGTCTTGTGTCTCGATTTCTGATGATACATATATGTACTATACTATATTATACGAGCATGCCGCAATTTTCAGCAATTTCGTAATCAAAACTGAAGCTGATACTCGCACTCGCACTCAGACTCGATGTGGTGGCAATGGGCGTGCCGCCAATCGTTCAATCAACGGCAGCATTGAAGGCGATAAATGCCCCCAAGGGGCGCCTTGCTTGTCAAAAACAACAACAAAAAGCAAACGAACAGAACGTGCCAGCACGACTGGTATATACCCTCCTCCTTCTCTCTGTCAAAGCTCTCAACTTAAATGAATTACATCATAATTTTTTATGTATTTATATACGACTTAAAAGTATTTAAAATTGCAGTTAAGCCTAAGTGGTTTTAGCATTGTCGCCTTAATAATATAGCTAGTCGAACGCGCGTAAAGTTAACTTTAATTTTAAAAATAATTAAAACTTATTTTTTATATATTTATTTATATTTATAGAAATAACTAAAAATACATAAATAAATAGGAGCTGAAGGCCTCTTCTGCCATGCTAAGCAATAAGCTATCTTATAATTCATTATTATTATTATTAAGTTAGATCTTAAATAAATAAGTAATGAGGCAGTTAAGCTTAAGTGGTTTAAGCAACGTGGCCTTAATAATATAGCTAGACGATTCCGATTAAACTTAACTTTAATTTAACTTAAAAAGAAATTAAAAGTTTTTTTTATTTATTTATATTTATAGAAATAAATAAAAATAAATAAATAAATAGGAGCTGAAGGCCTTTGCTGTCATAGCTAAGCAATAAGCTAGCCTATAATTTTATTATTATTACGAAGTTAGCTCTTAAATAAATAAATAATGAGGTATTATATAGAGTTATTAAATACTAGACTAGGTTAACAAATCTCCATAAACACAGAACTAGTGGTTTTACAACTATATAGCTATATCAAAAATTAAGCCTTTATATGATTTGTAATAAACTTGATCTGTGTATTGATAAGACAAGTCTACACGACAAGTTCGGTGTATCTAGCTGTTATGGTTCAAACGTACTCGATGGTCATACAGACGGACAAATAGACAAACATGGCTTTATCGATTTTGCTCATCATGCTGATCAGATATAGCCTTCACCCTTCCGGTACAGCGTATAAAAAACGAACGCCAGAGACGAAGACATGAAGCAATGGAGAGGGAGAGGGAAGCGATAGAGCGCGTACTGATAACAAAAGTGTAAGGCAGGTGCAGTGCCCGAAACAACGTCACTCAACAAACCAAATCACAGTGATAATAGAAGCAGGGAAGGGAAGGGGGCTAGAAGAAAAGTTGCTCTTTGCCGTGTCGCTGCATTTTGTTGGCAATTTGTTTGCTTTTGTTTGTTTTTTTTTCGCCTTCGGCCGATTTTATTTGTCGGTGCGTTCGTTCGTTGGTTCGTCTGTTTGCTCAGCGATTTGTGTAGATACATAGATACAATGCGATGGTACACGGAATAGATAAGTAAGTTCAGTTGGCCAGACCTGACTTGCCTGGCAGGGCCAGGGCAGAAGGCAAGTGGACGTGCAAGTGGGAGTGGGAGAGGGCGACGGAACCGGGAAGGGGAAGGGGCTCTTTGGTTGGCCAGCAGGCAAGCAAATTACAAACAAATTTTGTCTTGTCGCCGCACAGTGGTTACCAAAGATCAGTCTATCTGGACAATAGGAAAACAACTAGTCTCTGTATTTTCCATTTCTATGCATTTTTCTAATATTCTGAAGCGGATTTTAACATAAGTGGTTTGAAAATTATTAAGATTTTTATGTTTTAAGGAATAACAATTATGCTTACTTCAACACTATCTAATTTAAAGAATTTGAAATGCTATGCAAAATATAAGCCCTACAAAATTGTAATATTTTTAAAAATTGAAAATATTTAGATTATGAAACAATTTAAGTCTATCTGTGGCTTGCTGTAGCCTTTTGAAATTCAGAGCAGGTCCACTATTGACATTTAATTAAGCCACATACATATATGAAATAAATTGAAAACTTGAAGCAATTGTAATCTGCTCAACTATTAGAGGAATATCGAAGCAACTTTCTAAGTTTCCATATCTTATAGTTTGCGGATTATGGACGTTCATACAGACAAACAGAATGTCGCTTCTTTGAAGTATTTTCCCATTCTCTTACAATTTGTTATTAATTCTGAATCAAATAAGAAATGCTTGTAAATGCAGCAAGCTAAAATGAACTCGTTAATTGGGAAGAGACCGTTTTAACAATTACTTATATTTCTTTTAAAAGAAAATAAACTTCAGCTGTTTTATGTTTTCGACGCACTGTGCATTGTCGAACTTCGATGCTCGCCGATTGGCGGCGCGCGATATGTGAACCATCGCAGGCGTTATCGTCTATTCGAAGTGGGCGTCGGGGCTGGGGTTTTGGGTCGTGCAGGTGATGGGTGTGGGCTGACCGAGCGGTCAGCGGCACGCACTTAATGTCTCTTAAGTTTACGGTTTTATCGCCGCAATGCGTGTAGTTGTGAGTACGTGTGTGTGTGTGTTGCGATAAGAAAGCGGGAGTGGCGGGCAGAGGGTGGCTTGTTGCATGCGTTCTTGCCTGTGTTTCTAGAAATTGAAGCAAGCACCGCATGATGTAGTGATGTAGTTGCATCCATGCAGATAAAGCCTCTTTCACTTTAAAGACATACTTATACTTGTACTTGTATTATTAATACCTTAATTAATTCCTCAATTTATTTTGAAGTCACAAGTGTTATATGAAGCTGATTAATATAATATGCTTAGACAGACATAAATTGTAATGCGTTCCTAATAAATCGTTCATCTATTTAGCTAAGCTAAGTACTTTCTTAGATTTCTCCTAAATACCTAGAAAATTTATAATTTTGACAAAAAAAAAGAAATTATTTAATTTTAAAATGTATTTCAGGAGAATCTTTTTTTTTAGTTTTTCTCTCTTGCAAAAAATTAACTAGAATGTACGGTTCAAAAACAAAAAACATAATTCTCTTGAAAGATATGTTTATCAATTTGTGCAGATGTTTTCATTATCTTGACTACCTAGATAAGCTTTATATAATTTTTTAAATTCTATAATATAATATAGTTTTCGTGGAAGCCATCTTAAGAAGTACTACCAATATGTGATGAATTATTTTATTCCTTAGAGTTAATATACCAAGGGAACATATTAAGAGTAAACGGAGTTTTAATACTAATTTGTCGCAAATAGTCTCTGACTGATTTATAAGAAACAACACTTTAAACTGCAATAAATACTTGTAGGCAGTGAGTGTAGTAGAAGTTGAAGTTTATATTTGAAATTAAAACGTGTACTAAAAAAGTAAGTAAGCTTCAATTCAAAAGGCAATTGAGGTAAAATTATTGAATTCTTTCAACTTCTATTTAGATATCTATCATATAAATTGTACTTCTAATTTCTCCCTAAATAAATCATTCCCTTTAGTTAATATTCCAAGTGGAAATGTTGCGGGAAGGGCGACTTTGTTTAATAAATTTCAATATTAGTTTGTCGCAATCAACTATTTATATTTACAGATCTATCATAGAACAAGGTACTTCTTAATTCTTCCTAAGTATATTATTCCCAAGTGGAAATATTGTCGCAATCAGCCTCCGACTGACCTAAACATACATCACTTTAGTCTGCAATAGGTAGTTAGTTCTGTTGTTTTATGTACATATTTTATGTCGAAATATTAACTAAAGAAAAAGTGAGTTAAGCTTCAATTTAAAATACAATTTTGGTAAAATGAATATCAATTGTTTTTGTACATTTTTGGTTTATTTCAATTTATATTTACAGATCTATCATAGAAAAAGGTACTTCTTAATTCTTCCTAAGTATACCATTCCCCTTAGTTAATATTTCAAGTGGAAATGTTGTTGCAATCACAACATCCGACTGACCTATAACATACAATGTATGCATCAGTGAGTTCTGTTTTAAGTATGCACATAAGTAGGATTATTAAATTCTCTTCAGTTAATATTTAAGGTTAAAATGTTCAGTAGGAGATGACGGTTTAAAACATTAGCTTTGCTATTCCACCGTCTTGTGTTGTTGCTAGCAGTCTCTGACTGCCTTTCAACATGCAGCACTTCAATATGTAATAGGCAGTGAGTGCAGTTCTATGAAGCGGGCGACGGGACTTTTGCATAATTTTTATAAAGTTTTTCCATGAATTTATATTTTTGTTGGGCTTCATTTGAGTGCGATTGTTGTTGGTAGCATAAATTTTCGCATATGGTTAAATGTATATAAAAGTTGATTTCATTTTTTTTGTTTTTTTTTTTTGGCAACTTACTTGATTGAAAAGCTGTTGAATTTTTTATTTTACCGCTTACTATGCAAATTGAATGTGTCTCTCTTTCTCGGTTGCGCTGTCTCACTCGCTCTTGCTGTTACTTAATGCCGAGATAGTTCGTTGACGTTTTTGGGGCGCGTTTTCAAAAGTTTAAAATGCAATTTGATGCATTAAATTGCATTGCTGCTGCACTTGCATATTTCTATACATAGCTCTATTGGAATACACATAACAAATGGGAAAATAAAGACAAACTTTAACGACAACAGAATCGCTTTTAATTTAATTTATTGTGAAGTGTTTGTCGCTGTTGTTCTTGTTGTTGTTGTTGGTGTTGTGATTATTTTGTTCCAGCGTCTGGTGTGTTTGCATTTGCATAATGCACTCAGGCGCGCACTTAATCACTCATTCAATCAGTCATTCATTCATTCATTCATTCATTCACTTATTTATGCATGTTGCTGCTACTGTAGTTGTTGTTTTTGTTGTTGTTGTCATGGCAGCCACCTTTGTGTTCTTGTTGCCTGGCATTTTTGGGCATAAATGTGTACAAATGAAATACAATTTATTTGAGCGCACAATGCCTGCGAATTAAGCCCACAATGCAAAGAAAATTGTAAAAAAGTTTAAGCTCTTCACAAAAATACACACACACACACACACACAAACACATACATAGACATTCTACTGCAAGCCGATGTCGAATTGCATGCCAAGTGCGTTTTACTAGCGACTTTTCAGTGTCATCTTGCGCGCTGTAATTATCGCATTTACAAGACGAGGGAGGTGGGAGGTGGGAGGAGGGAGGAGATGAAGAGAGCGCAGTTTGCAGCGCCATCACCTGCAATATAGTAGGACTCAGCAGACGCGATAACTGCATTTGCAAGCTGACCGAGCAAACGCGCCAAAGGGGTGGGGAGGGGGGGCAGCGAGAGAACGGCGTTTGGTCATGGGCTGTTTCTTCGTTTACAGTTAATGTTCATAAATGTTAGCCGCAAGTGGCTGCGATGCCCATTAGCGGCCGCCCAAAGTGGTACAAGTGAGAGCATAAGAGAGCAGTGAGTGACTCTCTTCGCAGTCGTGGCAACTGTTTTACAGCTACATGCTGTATTTATGTAAATACATGTGTATGTGTGGGCTATTTTTATGCCCATGCCCCCCACCCCTCTTCTGCTGTTTCGGCAGCAGTTCAGCGAGCACCAGTTAGGGATGCACTTGCAATGTATACATCGTTGTCGATGTATAGTAGTTTGTACATCGATGCATCTAAGGGAGGAGATAAATGCAGTTGCTCGATGTTTGAACTACATTGTTGCTGGACATCAAACATTAAAGATGATGTAAACTTTGCAACCTCAAACTGATCTGAAGCAGTTTTTGAATCAAGAAGTTTTTTAAAACCCAAACGATCTTGTTTGCAGGATTTATAGTTAACAGAGAGAAAGGGGAATATGGTTATATCAATTGCACAAGAAATCGCTTGGATAAAATTTCAGTCACCAAAGAGATAAATTTCTCCCTTTTAGAAAAGTTTGCCAATTCCCTTGGCTGTATTTAAAGGCTTGGATAAAATTTCAGTCACCAAAAAGGTAAAGTTCTCCCTTTTAGAAAAGTTTGCCAATCCCTTGGCTGCATTTACAGGCAATAATAAGTCTTAGCTGGGCAACAATCTCAACTAGGTATAAACAACTTTGCTGAATTCCTACACATTTATTTAAATCAGCCACAAAAATGTCTCATGTCACAAGCAAACATCGCTGCATTGGCGGTGCATCACCAAAAACATCGTTGCTATTTGTACATCCCTAGCGCCAGTCGAGGGCCGGGAGTCGTCGAGTGGGACCCCCAAAGTGCCATTTGCCGCTCAAGTGTTGTCACATTTTCATTGCAGTTGCTGGGAATTGATGCGCTAATGATTCAGATGATGCTCATGGCATCAACAGCTGTTGGGGTCCGGAGTTACTGAAGAAGGAACTGAAGTGGTCAACGGCAAATAGGCAGCGACTCCCGAAAATAGCTCTGAATGAATGGGCGCTAATAATATGAGGAGCCATATTTATAAATATATTATCAAGCTTCAGTCATTAAAGCGGAAGATCAGGCAATTGGCAGCACCTTTTTTCAAAAATTTAAAACTCAAGAGTTAAACATTTAAATTCTAAAATTAAATCCGTGGAAAATAAAGCTAGATATTAAATTGGACTCGGAAATCGAAGGGAATAGAGCCATATATTTATACAAATTTCATTTTTGAATATTAGAAAGTCTTTTACAAATAAGTTTTACAGAACATTGCCCTCTGAAAGCCTTTCGAGAATCGAATAAAGCAATGAGAGGTAAGAACCGTATCCTTATATAATGGCTAAGGGGTGGATAGCTGCAGCAGAACCTGGAGATAATAAATAATTTAAAGCCAATTTACTTGCAATAGCTACGAAACTCTGGTAATGGCAGTACAATAGTTCTGTAAGATCAGAGATTACATCACACAACCTCGGATTATTTAGTCTAGCCTGACTGACGGGACCAAAACATACGAAATGGAAAAATTTAATAGAAAGGAAAAGGAGAAACAAGCAATTCTTCAAAAATAGGAGATACGCTTGATTTATTTTGATGAAAATATTATTGGTTATAATAAATCCAGCGTTCAAGTTAAAACTTAGGATTCTACGAATAATTCTTTTGTCAACTGTTTCTCTCTTTATACCTGTAATTGAATACATTTAATAACATTCAGGTGACAAACAGATAAATATTGAAAAGAAATGCCAACTGCCAATATTTTCGAGAAGAAGTTATGAAACTGATATATATTTCATTAGCTTCAGCTTAAAGCCAGTTCAATATACTTAGCTTAGATTCGCATAAGCTTATATATATTTTTAGCTACTTTTAAATAAAATTTTCAATCAAAATTTGCAGAAAAATGTGCATTTCTTACAAAATGAAAATTTGTATTTACAAGCTTGATATTTCTAGCAGTTAAAGTTTCCGAAATCTGCGCGTTCATACAGACAGATATGAACCTACACTTTAGCCCTATGGCCGTTTGAAATATCCCTTTCCTTCCTTTGCAGTTCAAATATTAATACAATTGCTTCTCAGTGCTCATATGCACGGTGAAAGGAAATTTGTGTCTAAATTGCTGCTTTCTAGCGCTTACCGTTTATGCTGTGCCTTGATTACCAAGTATTACTTTTCGTGTTCCAATGTTTTCAATAATTTAGGCCCTGAATTATCAAAAGTTAAGCAGAAAATGCGAATGCAGTTTATTTTGTAGTTTCCTAGTGTATACAAATCAATTTTGAAGTTAATCAAATGGCAGATTTTTCTGGCACCCCTTCTTCCTCTTTAGAGTTTGAACATTCCAAATCCGCTTCTTAGTCAGTGTTTTATACTCGTATATAGAGATTTGTGGGTGTAACAGTAACTTATCCACAGATAATCATACATCTTACTGTTGATAATATAATTACAACAAGAGCACGAACTGATAAATAGTCTTCCAGAGTTTTCAACTTAAATCTTGCATTGATTTGAAGTCTCAATTAGGAATATTGGCGCTTGATGTGGAATGCTAATTATCGTTCTTAAGAGCACATTTTTGTGCCAAAGTTTGCTAATTTTCTAAGAAATCACAGCTGACTAAACAGCGGCTGGGCAGGGGGCTGTGGCTGTGCAAAAACAATAGCAATAACAACAACAACAACAGCTAGCTGTCATTGGGAAGACCATGCTTGAAACAAGTCGGTGAGTCAGAGAGGGAGAGAAAGAGCGAAGCGAGGTAATCATAACTAGGCAGGCAGGCAGCCACCGATCAAGGTGTCAATTGAGAGCATGCTGGATCGTGGCACACACACACGCACACACATGAATAATATATATTTCGGTTGTTTATTTTTATTTTAAAATAAATCACTTTGTTTTGTTTTCTTTTAACTTCTTGTATTCATTCATTTTCATTTCCATTTTGGGGCTAACGGACAAGTTGCAAAATTCACAACAAACCAGCAAAATCAACAACAACACCAACAACAACAAACGCGCAATTGCCAGCGGCAAAAACAAATGCGCGCTGTGTTCCCTTTTTTGTATCTTTTTTTCGATTAATTTTTGTTTTTGTTTGAGTTGCCGCAATGGTTTTGTTTCTTCTTTTATTTTCATGCAGCAAAAGAAGTGAGTAAAAATAAATAAAACAAACACGCACACACACACACACACTCGCCACATTTTATAATTGTATGTTTGCACTGCAAAAAAAAAATAAAACACACTAGAAATAACAGATAAAAAAAAAAACAAAAAGCATAGACAATTTTAAAAAAATTATTGTAAACGCAAACGCAGCAAAATTTATGTTGTTTTTCTTCTTCGTTTTCTTATTATTATTTAGTTGTTCTTCACTTGTGTGTTTGCTTTGCACACAAACTTTAATTTTGATCGACTCGCACACACACACACAGACACACACGCACGCAAACGTACACACATGTAAGCGTATGCGTTAGCGAGGCAAACAAACAACAAAAAATTGTTACGCGCACCGCTTCCGAAAATTCGTCCGTCGCTTGTGGAACGCAAAACAAGACTGAAAACTTAACTTTGCCAACCATGCGCGTCGACGTCAAAGCCGGCAGCACCAGCACCAACAGCAGCAGCAGCGAAGGCGGCAGCAACACAGCCGAATGATGGCCCGAATCAGTTCGGGCTTGTGTCCCATTCCCATTCCTCCCCGAACAACACACCCCCGCCGCCTAACAGCTTGTAATGTTACACAAACATGTGCGACGACGGGCCTCTTCGGGCGCCCGCTTTGATGCTGTGCACAGTGGGCCACCCAAGTCTATTGAGTGTCAACACTTGGTTTAATTAGTTAAGAACGATTTATTTATGAATTAATCTACATAAAGATAGAAAAATAGCGTTAGTAAGTTTGTTCGCCGTTTTCATAATCCAAACTTCATTTAATGTAATAAGATTTATAAGATTTGTAGTAAATTTTTATGAATTTATCTTTACATGGATAGGTAAAATGAGTTGAAAAGTTATTCAAATTTAATTGCAATTTTGTAAAACAATCAGACAACAAAAAAGATGAGTACTTAAAATGTAGCACTTATACCAAGGCTCTTTTGACTCGTTTTTTTTTTTTAAATTTTTTTTCCGTTTTTTCATTACCAACATCAAAGTAT